TTTTTGCTAAACATAGTTTTTAGTTAAAGGTAAAAAAAATAGAAAAGCTCCAAGCGACAGCTTAACTAAAAGCTACATTTAGGTTTTTTGCTACAGCTTTGCTAAATGTAGCTTTTAGCTAAAGGTAAAAAAATAGAAAAGGGAGCTTTTCAAGGGTTCACTAAAAATTGATAAACACAATATATTTTTTTTATTTTTCCAAGCAAACAAATGAAAAAAAACGAATGTAACCGCTTAAACGATCAGACTGTAAAGCATTTTAATCAGACATTTCATTTTATTTATCTGACAATGTTCAGACCAGTTTAACATAATTAATCATTATCCATGTTTTATTTGACATTATATTATTTCATTTTTAAAAAATGGGCTCCTCCTGCACACCATCAGGTGCTAACCTTGTATCATCTCACCACCTGTTGCTGGGGTTTCTATCTCCTTTCAGCACAGCCACCTCCTTCTGTTTCTATTTCTAGCCCAGAAGTCCCGGTGCATTATTTGTATTCCCAGCTCTGTACCGTACGCTGCCAGGATCTGCTCTGTAAACCTCTGTGGGGCGTTTTAGAGCGCACTCTGAAGAAATCACTCACTTGTACTGAGATTTATTGAGTGAGCACCCTCCAGAGCGGAGCTTATTGTTGTCGAGCAACAGAGGAACCGTTTAGAGGGAATAAAAAAAACGGTAGAAAGGTTTTTAATCGTACCATCTTTAGATTCTTGGACAGAGTTAAAACTGTGCTAATTCTCCAACTGTTAACATCGTAATTAACAGGCAGAAGACTGTAGCAAAGCCTCAATGCTCATCTGTGTGATTCAGTCTTCCTGCACAGACTGTCACACGTTCAAGACATTTCGGATCAGTGCAAAAATCAGCCTTTTTTTAATTTTGAGATATTCTGAAAACTTCACTCAACTTCTGGACGAAATGACAGTGAAAGAAACGAACCCGTGCAGACAAAGCCTAATCAGTCTCATCTTGTGATACTTTTCTTTCTTGCTTTTTGAAGCTGACTGAAAGGACAGAAATATTTAGCCTGGAGTCTGTATCTTGTCATTTCAGTCACGGCAGCTGCGTTTTAAAGGCAGCAAACCACGCATAATTCTCATAAGGATGTTCTGTACTTTACGCTGATTTGAACCATTTGGAGGCACTCGTTTTAAAAGAAACCTTAATGCAAAACAAAGAAAAAAATACGTTTTACTACACACCAAATATGTAGCATTACATTTTTATACTCACATAAAGTTTGAATGAACATGAACACATTTTAATCTTTGGTGATGTTCTAAATGTCTCAAAAGACTGATTCCCAACTTTAAATGTTTGTTTCACTTGAAGACATTTACTTGACAAACAATGGGTCGAGTGGTGACTTTGAACCGTGAGCCATTAGCTTTTAGCCATCATCATTATCCAGTTCTTTCCATTGACTTAAAGCTATTAGCCTGCTTGCATTATTTAGCTACTCCTCAGACACAGGAAATGACTGAACCCTGTTGTTGAAGAAGTCAATCAGGTGCAGAAACAGGTTTGTGTTCAGAGCTAGCTCTGCAACGACCATGAACCAGACTAGCAATGAAATAATCAGCTGGCCTGCCTGACATAACCAAGGGTTAGACCGGTGCTTACAGTTTGTTTTCAGTCAAATGCTAGCACAGGTCTGACTGCTGCAAAGCAGGTCGGAGTAGTTTCTGCCTGGGGCGGAAAGTCGCTGAGACCAGGAAGCTGCGCGAGTGCAGGTTTCTGCAGAAATGAGCCTCGACTGGCCCAAGGCTCAGACCCTGCAGCTCGAGTGTGGCGAACGGCTAACGAGAGCACAAGAAAGAGAGAGAGAAAAAAATATACAAATTAAGGGAAAATAAGTTTACAGGGTGACCACTGTGCCTACTCTTCAGAAAAAATTAGTTGGAACAAACATTTTTCATAATTAGTTTAGCTGCAAAATTAGGCTGAGCTTTGAGTCAAATTAGCTCAACTCAAAATAAATACTGTAACTTTGTGGTTGCTTTGAAATGTAAAAATTATCCATCACAGATGAGGCAAATGTGTATTTTGTTTTGTAAACCAAAATAATAACTAGAGAAATTGTATTTCCTGCAAAAATACTAGTGTGAATGCCTGTAGCTGAAAACTTTAGCTGAAAGCTGCTGAAGAAGCTGAAATTGAGATGAACATGTTGTTAAACATGAAAAGTGGAACAAATTTTAAAAAAGCAGAAAAACAGTTAAAAGGAGCAAAAATCTGGCTGAATTAGCACAAAAAGCTAAAAGCTAAAGGCTAAAATAGCTGAACACAGCAGAAAGCAACTGTAAGAAGCATAAACAGCATAAATTAGCAGAAAAAGTATAACAAAGCAGAAAAACACAGACGAATAGCAGAAAGAAGAAATATTTTAGCTGATATAGCAGCAAAAAGCCAAAGTTAGCAGAAAAAGGCTAAAAGTAGCAGACTGAAATTGAAAGTTACACACAGATAGTGAAATGGATGTAAAAAATTCAAAATTAACCAAAAAAACCCCATAAAACTACTAAAAAAGTGATCATTTGAAGTAAAACAGGCAAAACAGCCAACGGTTTTAGTAAAACAGCTAAAAGTAGTTGGAAACATTTTAATTAGCATAAGGATGCATAAGAAGCACAAGTTTGTTGAATTTAACATAATTCAGTTGAAATTGCTCCAGAAAAATGTGTAATTAACATAGAAAGCTAACTGTGGCTAATAACAGCTAAAATTCAGCTAAATTTGTAGCAAATAGCTGAATATAGAGGAAAGCAACTGTAAGAAGCATAAATAGCACAAATTAGCAGAAAAATTATAACAAAGCAGAAAAAAGCAAAAGAGTAGCACGAAGAAGTAGAATTTTAGTTAATATAGCAGAAAAAAACTAAAGTTAGCATAATAATAAGCTAAAGGTAGCTGACTCAAATTGAAAGTAGCACCCAGATGGTGAAATGGTTGTAAAAAAGTCAAAACTGACAGAAAAAAATCCCATAAAACTACTGAAAAGTCATCATTTGAAGTAAAATAGATAAAACAGCTGAAGTTTTCAGTAAAACAGCTAAATTGTAGCTGGAAACGTTTTAATTAGCATCAGGATGCATAAGGAGTACAAGTTTGCTGAATTTAGCAGAATTAAGTTGAAATACCTCCAAAAATGTGTAATTAGCTTAGAAAGCTAACTTTGGATAATAACAGTTAAAATTTAGCTAAATTTGTAGCAAATAGCTGAATATAGAAGAAAACAACTGTAAGAAGCATAAATAGCACAAATTAGCAGAAAAAAGTATAACAAAGCAGAAAAAGGCAGAAGCATAGCAGAAAGAAGTAGAATTTTAGGTGAAATAGCAGAAAAAAGTTAAAATCAGCAAAAAAGTAGCTAAAATTTGCACAAGACAGTAATATAGAGCATAACCAGAACAAATTGTGTAAGGTTTTGTAAAGATTTAGAAACTATTTGATGGATTTTAAGGTTGTTGAAAATAACCCCATTCAAAGTAAATGGGAAAAAAAGTGGCTAAAAAGTTGAAATAGCTAAAAAAAAGTAAAAATAGCTGAAAATGCGAAAAGTCATAGCCGGCATTGCACGAAAGAAATGAACGTTTTGATATATGAATTGTTGAAGTAGCACAATAATTGTGGAACGAGAAAGGTGCTGAAAAACGTACGGAAGAAGAAAATGATCTCAATGGTGTGAATGCCATGTACTGTAGGCATTCACCCAATTAGATAAATACGAGGGGAGATTTTACTGAGCAGGTAGGAAGCTGGAAAAATGTTTAGCTTATGTTCAACTTAGGTCACCTGAGTAAAAACTGAATGATGTTAGAGGACACGAAGACCTCCTACATTTATTGAAAGCATATTTTAAGGCAGAAGAGACTGAAACTGTGAAGGGCTCAAGTTTAACTGAACTTTTCATGGAAGCAGGGCTGCTGTGGAAGGATAGGTTATTAAATTGGCTGTAAACATTGACCACAATTATTTTGATCTATTCTAATCAGGTGTGTTGAAGTTTTACAGTTTAAAACACAATCGTTAACAAAGGTGGTTTCATAAAAGTGCTGAAGAAATTAAGTCAAAAGCAATAAAATATCTCAACTAGATACGGCATGTAGCATATGAACCAAAGACATACGCAAAGCACCAATGCACCAGAACTCAGAAGTCATCGACACAGATTTAATCTTTGTGGTGGGGGTCCGGAGGGAGAGGGGGATGCTCATTGGTCGTCCCGACGGATAGCTTTTCATCAGAGCTAAACTACAAAAATAAATAAATAAATAAAAATCTGAAGCTCCTATGTTGAATAGTTTTTGAGTTATAAGCATTTTTGAATGTCCAGACACCCCTTTTCAGATGGAGCCCCCTCTTCAAATATGGAGTCTATCATAAAAAACTGTTGGTTGGTGCAGTGTAGGTCGGACTCATCTACAATCCTGCCAAATATCATGCTGCTAGGTGCATCCCAAAATTTTACTGTTTTGGGTGGGAGTTTGGTGGGGGGGCATTCATTGGTGGGCCCAATAGATAGCCCTTCATCGGAACTAAAAAATGAATAAAAAAATCTGAAGCTCCTATGTTGAATAGTTTTTGAGTTATAAGCATTTTTGTGTTTCCAGACACCCCTTTTGTAGATGGAGCCCCCTCCTCAAACATGGGGTATATTGTAAAACTGTTGGCTGGCGNGGCTGGCGTAGTGTAGTTCGGACACATCTACATTCCTGCCAAATTTCAACTGTTTCCATGCTATGGTTGACGAAAAATTTTGAAAAAAATTAAATAAAACAAAATAAATAGTAAGAAACCAAAGTTACAAAACAATAAACTTGTACAAAATCGTTCAGCTGAAACGAATGATTTTAAATAATTAAAGATCTGAACAGTTTGTAACATAAAATGCTAATATTCAGTCTGTTACAGCTTCAACAATGCGCTTTAGGTGAGCAGAAGTCTGACAACTACGTGGAAATGAGTTACAGAAGTTTTTTCTGTCTCACAGCTTGCTCAGAATGAAGGCAGTCCAGTTCGAGGCTTCGGCGTGGTGGAGTACGAGACGGCTGAACAGGCCGAGGCGGTGCTGATAGAGATGGACCGGACTCTGGTGGGAGGACAGGAGGTCCGTCTGTCGCTCTGTACCCCCGGCACCTCAGGGAGAAGCACCCTGGCTGCGCTCATCGCTGCCCAGGGCATGGTGAGTAAACGACACAAACCAAGCACCAACACGGGTCAGTGGAGAACAAAGTAGTGTGTCTTTTTCAAGCTTCATGTTGCTGAAAATGGTCCGGTCCGACAGCAGTAGATGGTTATTTAATTAGCAAGATGGGCAGCTTTGAATAGCTGCTCGTCTGGTCCAATTCACCCCTAATTTACACTACATGCATTCAGGCTCCGCTCCGCTCCTGTCCGACCTCCGCATCAAATACGCATCCATTATAATCAATGAGAGTGTTGACACTGGCTGCGCACGGCGGCGGTGAGCGGCTGTGAGCGGACGGCGTTCTGGCAAAATTAGAACAGATCCTATTTTTGCCCGATTTATTCACTTATATACAAGAAAATATTAAAATTTATTGTGGCAGGTTTATTAAAAAGTGCCACAGAAGCCCGAGTCCGACCCGACCATCAAGTGTTTAATTTTGACCCGACCCAGCTCTTAAATATAAACTCTACTCATATTACGATTGTACGGTTGCTGCTGCATACTTTTAGCCGGTCTTTGTGCCAATAAAGTTTGTATTTATTTCCTCCTCTGTACGTATATAAAATGAGGGGCTCCAAAAAAATAAAAACCGAAAACACCTAAGGTTTAAATCCAAACGGAGTTTGTGTTGTTTTGATAGAAGAAACCTGCAGCTGGGTGGTACTCGAAGCTGTTACCACCTCGCTCCGAGCTACAGAGATGGGGAGTTTCAGTCCCCCCCCCCAATGTGTCTCTGAATGGACTGAGGTGGTCAGAACACACATCAGTAACGAGATGGGGCGTCCTCTGGAAGAGCCAGAATAGTCCGATGCAAACATGCTCTTTAATAATTTATTGAATGTTTGTCCTAGATTTACGGGGATCAGTCATATAATGTGTAATCCCTGCAATCCCACAAAGAATTTCAGGCCCGGGTGTAACTAATCAATAATATCACCACTTTTCTTTTTTTAATCTTAGCAAATATGTGTCTGTAAAATAGGCACACATTATTGCAAATCTAATTACCGTATTTATTCAAGTATAATACGTAAAATTAAATCCATAAAATCATCCATAAAGTTGGGGGGTAGTACTATACTCAGATGAATATTTTTACTTATGTATTTTAACTTAAATATCAGCTTCATTCACAAAATGCCTGAGTCTGGAAATGAGACCAAGTCGTAAAAAGCAGTTGAAACGAGCTTACCTTTGACACTCCTCCGTGCTTCACATCGAGATAACAGATCCAAGCAGGCGACATGATGTGAAAAAAGGGGGAAAAAGCAGTCCTGCAGCTTAGTAATGATAGTGAACTAATGACATTAGTGTGTGACCAAGCCGCTGCTCGAACAAAAACAAACACATGTTGGTCTGTAATGGCTGCCATCTACCAGTGTTCTGAAAAAGTTTGTATCCCTGGAAAAAACGTTTCCCCATCAGAGGGGGCACTCGTGAGTAGGAAGTAATCTGCTTTACCCCAGAAGATGGCCCAAATCTCATGTGAAGTCTCTGACTTTTGTGTTGGCGCATCCTGGTGGACTATGTGTAAAACGCTAGAATTCATATGATGCTGCTACAGCTGATATATATTTGTTGTCAAAATACCTTTTATTACATATCTTGATTGATTTGATTTATTGATTTATTGATTCAACAGGAAAAGATTACTAAAATCAAGCCTGACTCAGCATAATTGCTGTTTTACA